CAATGTAGCTTTCAATGTGTCAAAACTAAATATACCTATCTAGTTTCATTTTGTGTTTTTGTGACTCTGCAGGAATAATACCGATCCAGATTATGTATATTTATAAAGAGATTATAAATCCAAAACGATAAAAAATAAGTTTTATAAAAATAATTCGTCGTAATTCAAGATTAATATTTTATCCTCTTCTCAAACAAATATTCAATTCTAAACAATATCTGATAGCTGCTTTGTTATTTGCGTGAAAATAATGAAAAAATGCCCATTCATTGATTCGATTTAACAATAAATGTGTGAATAGGAACATTTAAGATTTTAAAACATATTTATTAACAAAATAATTACATACTTTGACATATTTATACTATGCATAATATCAACAAAATAATTATATTCAATAACGTAGAACTAAAAATATTAAAAACACTGTCCTTACGCCGGTCCCAGACGTTTGCAAATGATTGTAAAGATCCTCAAACGCGATGCGTGGGAGGATATTTTCAAAATTTTCAATATTTGTACAAATATTTTATCTGTTATTTTGTATTTGCCAAGTCAAAGCGAGCAGAGTAAATATTTGTGGATGCTTCTATACATGTTGAAGCATCCGCTGTACTTGCTAATAGAATGGAAGGTGGAGATGTCGAGGAGTGTATTAGATATTGCAACTAAATTTGGAAGTGTGACGTGGGATTTGAGATTGCTGTGATAGCCAGGTTCGGAGCCACCCTTGCAGGGTCCATGGGCGTAGCACGTCCAAAGCTAATTAAAAAGTTATATTACATAATTAAAAGAACACAAATGATATAATGCTACTGCTTCGAGCCAGTCGTCCATTGTATCCGCCATCTTTGCACATAACCACATATTAATCCACAAATGTGAAGTGAAACAAGTGTAGCAGCTCAAAGATTTTGTTCCAACGTTTAACAAATATTTCCGAAAGAAATTCTATAAACATTTGCAACACATGTCTGAGACCGGCTTTAGAACAGATAAACTTAAAATACCAACCAAACCTTCGCGCCATTACCTTTCAATTACATCAATAGGGATGTGAAACTTGTCTTAAAATTAATTGTACCTGTAATGAGTGAGATTCATTGTCATTTTGAATACTCTCTCGAAAATAATTAGTTTTGTTGATTCGATTGTACGTGTCAGGTTTAAAGCAATTCTGATTCAATTATGAAAACATAACCATAGAGATGTTTTCTAGTGAACTTTTACAAAGAGAAAAAATATATCAATCAAATTAATAAAAAGGCACTTTAGGCTTGTATAAATTAAACTTAAAAAAAGATAATCACATTGACTTGATTTTGTAAAATATTATCAAAAAATTTACTTCACTTAACAAGTACTTTTATAATAGTTTGTTATATTTTTGGTTTATATTATACAATTAATAGAAAAATAACGCCTATTTTGATACAACAATTTAAATATAAACAATATTGTAAAAAAATACTGTATACACTAGTATATATGTAACATGTGATCATTATATCTATATGCCTTTGTAAGCATACCTAGCGGGAGGTGAGATCTGTCTATGGCCAGAGGATAAATGTTTCAACTATTGTATGAATGTTACGTAAATTAAAAAAAATAGCTGTATGTGATACCTTAATTGTGAAGGTCATAACAATTTCTCTTACAAATTTAAATTGTTTATAGTGCTATTGCTTTTTTAGAAATTAAAATTGTTTATAGTGCTAATCTTTGCACTTACGATTGAACATTAAAATATGTATGCTTATAAATGCTATAAGTTAGGCATACACTGCTGGAACGGATATAACAATAGATGGCCCTGTATAACGTTCGTATACCAGTTTTAGTAAAATGTAAATGTAATTATTGACGTCTCTAGTTGTTCCCGATGTTTTCGAAGTGGGGCTCCAATATTCGGATCTGGTCCAGGAGTATGTCGGCGAGGTTCTGCGCGGGGTCGGTGTCTGCAAAGTCAGCTCCCTTATTAAAGACCGTAGGTTGGTCGGCCAAAATAAAATAGTGAGGATAGCGTAAACAGCTTTATATATTATAGACTATATCCTACTTATTAGGACAGAGTAACGTCCTATACAAAGGATAAAGTGTTCTACCCTATCACTGAAACATTATGCGCTTATATACAAAAATATAATGACATCACAACTACATTACAAATCTATGCACTTATTAAATTACAAATACAGTTAATAAGATTGACCTATTAAATTATAAATTATTATTAAGCATGGTTTATTATATAATATTATACCAGATATGGTTCAATGTTTACTAAGTATAATTGTTATTGCTCGTATATTGAGCAGTGTTGCCAGTGGATTGTAACACTCTCTAACTTCTGCGGCGTGTTACAGCTAACGTTACAGTATTGCACGCGATGGAAGCGTTTAAGGACATGTAGTGTCCTCTTTGTAGATCTACTTTTTAAGTTATACTTCTAGATAAAAAAAAGATTTATCACGTCAACGTTTAGGTGAAGGAAAACATCGTGAGGGAACCTGCATATTTTCGAAATAATAACGAAGAAAAACATTTCGAAAGAATGTGAAGTCCGCCAATCCGCTGTGGGGTCGCGTGGGGGCCTATGCCCTGATACCCTCTGTACGGAGGCCTTTGCCCAGCAGTGGGCAACATCTATACAACGGACATCTATAAGCTGTGATTTTACTTTTTTTTATACTTCCATTTACCATTGCAATCAATAACAATTTTTGACGTTTGCCCATATACCAATTTATGTTTTTAAGCCATCGTCGATTGCATTTTTTTTTTCACAAAAATAGATTATTAATAATATCAGAATGATATCTTTATAAAAGTATAATTTTTTACGTGCGTACATAAAATAAAAATGCACGTGTTTTTTTTAATGTAAGAATTTGGCAAAGACGGTTCACGTGATGTTAAGTGACGACCGCCGCCCGTGGACATCTTGAGCGCCTGGTGGGTTGCAGACGCGTTGGCGACCAATCAAAAAAGGGTCCCGGCTACCTCACTCGGTAGAAAAAACGTGAAAATATTACGTTTCCACCATACGCAGGCCCAAACTTCTCTATTCAATATGGCTATTTTAAGCCCTTGTTGAACGTAAAAGAGCTACCGGTTTGAACTAGACCTGTCTAGGTCCGGAGGGGAGCTGCCTTTGAGGCCGTGGCTTGCTGGTCCCTCGAAACCTGTCATGTGCAGCGTTGGTCTGCTCCAACTCCCGAGACTCACCATCGAAGTAGACCAGCTGGCACTTGCCCCTGCACTCCGGGCTCTTAGCTATGACGGTGCTCAGCGTCTCGCAGAATTCGCCCACTATCCGTTCCACGTCCGCTCTAACCAGTTCTGCAACGTCAACGGAAACCCGCCTTGGGACGCCGTTTTTTTTTACTAAAACGAACACTTATTGTAAATCGAAATGTATTTCTAAAGTATGTGGACGTTTGTTATTGTTCGTTTCTTTCTTAAATGTCGTTAAGGTTTTTGGAAAGGCTATCGCTTCGTAATGAAAAGTTTTTTTTTTTTTTAGTACCTATAAAATGGTACTTTGTTTATTTTTTATTTTTATTATTCTTTAATTGATAAAAAGCAAAACGTAATCTAAATAAGAAAAAATATCCAAATAAAAAAATACAAAGCTGTTTCCGAAGATACTCGAAACATACTTAAAAACATTCCCTCACACCATTCACTATAATAAATACATGCGACCACAGCGTGGCAGGCTGCTACTCTTAGCCACAGTCCCGCATTTAGGATTAAATTATCGGATGTTACTGCGGTTCGGATCTCTTCAACGGCACCAGGTCGCGTCACAGTCACGTGAAGTTTTGACTGACAATGTCTACATTCCAACTAGCATGGGGGCGTTCTTTCCTATTCGAGTTGCATCGGAATGGTACGGTGGTGGGGCCACGCAGCAGTCTCGGCTGTTGCACGAATGGGCAGGCCCGTCCGGGTAAGTACCACGACCTCACAGAAGACCAGCGTAAAGTGGAAGTATGACAAATACTTTCGCGTTTCGTCTGGTGAGTGAGGTGGCCGGAGCCCAATCTTCAAAAGGTTGTCAACGCATCTGTAACCCTCGGGTGTGGCAGATGTCCATGGGCGGCGCTATTCACTTAACGTCAGGTGAACCGTCTGCTCGTTTGACAACTCTTCGCATGGGGTGGAAGAGCGCGGGTCTACTGCGGTACGTGTTCTGAGGACGCGCGGTACGGTAGAGCGCGGGTCTACTGTCGCGGTGGGAACGGATCGGTCTACTGCGGCGCGTGTCTCACTGTCGTAAAGGACGGGCTTCTGCAGCACGTTGTGCAGCGTGTGCAGCGGGGTGGCGCACTCGGCCGCCAAGTAGAGCGCCGGCTTGCCCGTTCGGTGGATCTTGTACGCCGAGTTGTGGTACTTTCGGTTCTTACAACCGGCCACGTCCTTCTCCACCGTCTCCAGCGGCTGCGAACGTTGCACGTACGAGGCTAGACTTATCCCTTGCGGATGTTACTTGGCAGCGCTTGAAGTTACATCGCGGCCGGCGCGCGGAATTGAATTCGGGTCGCTTGATTGTATTCAATTTGAAGCGAGCGCACTCGGCGGTCAAGGATAATGTCCTAGGGAACCGGCATATTTCACAAACACTATAATATATAAATTACCAATGTTGACGCTAAAATAAGTTTTTTTTGTCGTGTAGTTAACTATCATATTGGTGTGTACTTGAGTGAGTCAGTCGCGCAATAAACTAGCAAGCTGCAACACGTCTTTTTTATTCAAATAATCCCATGCACTACATACAGTCCATTTTCAACTCTAATACACCAACATATGGTCCTTCGAGCCGGATTTTGCTAGCGGAGCTCGGTCGTCGAGAACAAAAAGAAGAAACATCAACGAGCTGAGAACTAAAAACACGTGTGTTATTATAAAATTTGCATTTACGAACACTACTGTGAATCAAGATTAAGTAATAATTGTGAAATATGGCAAATAAAGAACAAATTCTGTCC